TCATTGGCTGTAACTGACCAGCTGGGGGAGATGTCGGAAGTTTGCGAAGTTGGCATGGAGAGCAGGAACCCACGTACTTTGCTACGCTGGTAGAAATCCCAGGCCAATAAAAGCGGCTTCGAATGCGGTCGTAGGTTTTGTGAAAGCCTAGGTGGCCAGCAGTCAAATCGTCATGAAAGGCGTTAAGTGCATGATGTTGAAGAGCGCGTGGCAGAACAGGTACCCAGCGTGTGCCGTCAGGATGATATATGTGACGATACAGCACACCGTCCTGAAACTTGAAGTGCTCGAGTTGTCGACGAAGGCGTGCATTGGGTGGACGCGTAGCTCCTGAAAGGTGGTCTATAATGCGCCGACAATACGGGTCAGCCTGCTGGTGAGAACTGAAGGGTTGTTTATCGTCGATTGGCGGTTGGTACAGCGAGGCGAGCAAGGCAACAGAAGTGGGAGTCACGTCCGCACTGGTGTCGTTGAAGGTGGCAGCTGGAGTGTCGAACGACGCTGTAGGTAGTGGGCAACGAGAAAGAGCGTCGGCGTCTTGATGTTTTTTGCCTGATTTATAAATAATCTCAAACTGATACTCCTGTAGGCGTAAAATCCAACGACCCAAGCGTCCGGACAAGTTCTTCATTGTAGAAAGCCAGCATAAGGCGTGGTGGTCCGTTACGATGGTGAATTGACGGCCGTACAGATAAGGACGGAACTTTTGTATGGACCGAACCACAGCGAGGCACTCCTGCTCAGTGATGGTATAGTTTTTTTCGGTAGAAGTTAGCACTCGGCTAGCATATGCGATGACCCTTTCCCGTCCAGAGTTATCGCGTTGGAGGAGAACAGCACCTATACCGCAGCCGCTGGCGTCGGTATGCAGGAGTGTTGGGGCGGTGTCATCAAAATGGCAGAGTACAGGTTCTGACGTCAAAGCTTTCTTCAATAGGTGAAACGCCGACTGACATTCCTCGGACCACACAAAGGGTGCATTAGATGCAAGTAGTTTGTGAAGTGGCGCAGCTATTGAAGCGAAATTTTGTATGAAGCGACGAAAATATGATGCGAGGCCAAGAAAACTTCGCAAATTCTTAAGTCTTGTGGGGCATGGAAATCGAAGGACGGCAGCGATCTTTTCGGGGTCAGGGCGAATACCGTCCTTGCTGAGGACATGACCGAGAACCTTGATGGATTTGGTGGCGAAACGGCACTTCTTAGTGTTGAGCTGCAGACCCGCACCGGCGAGGCATGTTAGGACGTCATCCAAGCGGCTCAGGTGCTGAGAAAACGTTGATGAAAAGATGATAATGTCATCAAGGTAGCAGAGACACGTCTTCTATTTCAGACCACGCAGGACGGTGTCGATCATGCGTTCAAACGTCGCGGGCGCATTGCAGAGCCCTAAAGGCATCACGTTAAATTCGTATAGGCCATCGGGGGTTGCAAATGCCGGTTTTTCTTTGTCGTCATCGTGCATGGGAATTTGCCAATATCCCGAACGCAAATCAAGGCTTGAAAAGTATTCGGCGCCTTGCAGTGAATCAAGGGCGTCGTCGATGCGTGGCATGGGGTATACGTCCTTGCGTGTGATGTTGTTAAGTGCCCGGTAATCAACGCAAAAGCGCACGGAGCCATCTTTTTTCCGTACCAAAACAACAGGGGATGACAAAGGGCTAGTTGATAGACGAATTATTTCTCGTTGGAGCATGTCAGCGACGTTTTTCTCGATGATTTTTCGCTCAGCGAGAGACACGCGGTACGGGCGGCGATGTACAATAGATGTTCCCTCCGTCTGAATGCGATGCGCTGCAGTGGTAGTTCGGCCCAACGTTGAAGAGCAGGTGTCGAAAGAATCGGCGTGTTTCTTTAATAACGCAAGCAACTGCTGCGCCTGCATAGCTGTTAAGTCATCACTGATAAGAGATGTGAAGGGAGAGGATGAGGCAGGCTTACTCATAGAACGGTCGTTGGTAGAGGCAGGGTGAAGTGGCGTGACGCTGACAGGCTCAGCATCCACAACACAGGCTACTGCAGTGCCCTCCAGCAGGAGAACTTTCTCTGGCGTTTCATTCGTAGCAATGACGAGCGCGGAGCCATGGTGAAAGCGTACGACACCTGATGCAAGGGCTGTGCCTTTTGCGACGCAAGTCGACGAAGGGGACACCAAGACGTCACCGTGGTCGATGTCCTTAGAGATCAGGGTCACAATTCGTTCTTGGTGTGGCGGTAGTTCGAGATCTTCGTGAGCGAACAGGCGTAGAGGCTTGTAGACACCTTCGTCGAACATGGAGTCCGTATTAGTTAGGTGCAGAATTCGTTCACCACAACAAATAGCGGCTGAAGAAGAAGATAGGAAGTCCCACCCTAGAATTAGCTGGTGAGAGCACCGGGTAAGCACAGTGAACTCGATGTAATGCAAAATGTCATCAATAAACACACGAGCAGTACAAAGAGCAAAAGGGCGGATAGCGTTCCCCTGGGCTTCGACTAGATTGGGTCCATTATAAGGTGTCATTACTTTCTTCAGGCGTTTGCACAAATCATACCTAATCACAGAAACTGCAGCACCGGTGTCCACCAAAGCGTCCACGAGAACTCCTTCCACCGTAACAGAAACCATGTTGAACGGGCGTGCTGGAGGAATATGAGTCCTACTGTTACGTGCAGTTTCTCCTCCGAAAACTGCATCATTTAGTTTTCCGACCGGTTATCAGTAGTAAACGAGGCTGGCCGAAGAGGAAAGGAGGAGCGACGGAAGGGCGAAGGTGATCGGCGTCGGCTTGAACGGTAAGTGTTCCGCGTCTCAGTCGACGCGGGCGGAGATGGAGACCGCTGCTGTCCAGATGAATAACGCCGAGCGTAAGAATCCCCTCTGGAAAAGTCCCGTTCGCGCATGTCGTACCCGCGACGCTCTTCCTGCTGGCGCTTGCGGCAGAAGCGCGATATATGGCCACGATATCCACAGTAAAAGCATGTTGGGCGAGACGGGCGCCAAGGCGGGTAGTAGAGGTCGTTCGGCACACCGGGAGATAGCGCACTCAAGTGGACTGACGGAGGGTCGGGTGGGATTGGCCGGAAGTGGACCGGTGGTGCAGCAGCAACCGGCGTGAATGATGGCAGCGGTGCAGTAGAGTTTACGTTGCGAGGAGGCGCGGCCGCAACTTGCGCGTATACGTTGGAGGGCTAGATGGAGGTGGCTGGACGTAGGCTGGACCGGTGAATGATGTTAGTTCCTCCCTTACGATGTCACGGAGGGCCATGCTTGAAGGCTGTGTGACAGATGGAGAAGGTTGTGAGATGCCCATTGATTGAAGTTCTTCTCGTATGATCTCCCGTATCATGTCACGCAGGTCCCGGTCTGCGGTACGGTGTTCACTATTGCCCGACTGAAGGCGAACAGAATCAAGTTCGTCGAGACGCTGACACGTAAAGACGACGTCCGTGACAGTAGAAGGATTCTGGGCAACAAGGGCATTGTAGGCAATGCTTCCGATGCCCTTCAGGATGTGGTGCCGTTTGTCCGACTCGGACATCGAAGAATTGACGCGCCGGCAAAGCGCTAGGACATCCTCGATATAAGATGTGTATGACTCGCCGGGATGTTGTTGGCGAGTATCTAAGGCCCTCCTCGCTAGAGCGGATCGAACGGCTGGCGTGCCGAATACTTGGCGAAGCTGCTGCTTGAAGGCAGGCCAGTCGGTGAGGTCGATCTCATGGTTCAAGAACCATGTCTTGGCAACGCCCGTGAGATAAAGCGATACTCGGCGGAGCTTGTTAGAGTCGTCCCAGTGATTAGTTGCGCTTACCCGCTCGTAGTTATCGAGCCAGTCCTCCACATCTTCGCCGCGGAGACCAGCGAAGATCGGAGGGTCACGCTGGTGGTTTACGATGTAAAGAGGAGGGGCTTGCGGCGCAGTGACGGCTTGCGGCGCAGAGACGGGAGCAGAAAGGGCATCCACCCACTCACTCTGAGACATGTTGGCGGACTGAGGGTCCAAGCGGCGGCCTGAACGGAGCTCCAGCGAGTAGGCGTTGTAAGTAGAGGTACTGGGAACGTCAATCCACCTCCACCACGTAGGACGACTCGGTTGTAGCGAGGTTTATTGGCCGTGAACTCGGGAACGAACAAGCGCAACGGACCCGACCAAGAAGCGCTCGTGCCAAGCAGATGATTATTGTCAGCCAGAACATATGATGATGATTCACTGCTGTTCAGATGAGGATGAAGCGCATAATAGATGCCTACAATATATATATATATATATATATATATATATATATTATATATATATATATATATATATATATATATATATATATATATATATAAGGGAAAGAAGTGTGTACCTAAGGGCTCGTTTTTCCGTGTTTTTAACACAGTAATAATGAGATCTAACAGACAGTAATGCCAAGGAATGTACAGGGGAAATTATTAGAGCCAATGGAATGTAAATAAGAAGAAAGAAGAAAGAAAAGTGGATGAAAAAATAACCAGCCGTGAGCAGGAATCGAACCTACGACCTTCGAATAACGCGTTCGATGCTCTAACCACTGAGCTACTGTCTGTTAGATCTCATTATGATATCATTATATATATATATATATATATATATATATATATATATATATATATATATATATATATATATATATATATATATATATATATATATATATATGTGTGTGTGTGTTGGAGAAGTTTTTCCGACGGGCTAAACGTACTTGGGAAGAGAAGAAACACAACTTAGCAGTTGTCTTAATTTTATTACCAACGGTTTCGACCTAGTTCCTTTGTGCTTTCCAGTTTCCCTCATCACGATGATTGGTGATGAGATAAGAATGAACGCTTTAACAAACGTGTATCCACTGAAAAGAAAAGTGTTGATCCTCAGTTGCAGAAGACCTGAATTCGAAATCAGCGTACTCAAGCCAACGATTTTACTGAGCAGATTGTATGACCACAAGTGAACGCTCAACTTAGTATTGCTGGAAGCAATGAAAGGGTTACTTACACCACCATGACTGCTAATGTGAGCATCAAGATGAACCCGAACTTCGTGGTCGACATTGTAATGCTGATAGCTGCCCAAGCTTTCTTGTTCGGCTGGCAGTGCTGTGGCGAAATACCTGTGAATTTATGCACGCTAAGGCGAGATCTATAAAGGTTTTTAATTGATCAATTTTAGTCGTGTCATTTCGTTCATACAAAGCTTCAGATGCCTTTTTTTTCTGACGTACGTTGAAATACGTAAGTACACTCACCAGTTATAACGCAAGTTTTCCACATAGCTCAATAAAAGATCAGTGTAGCATATATGAAAGAAAAACGTACAGAGGTGTAGCACACCGCGAAGATTGATGCGTTCAACTGAGAAAAGACATATATTATTAATTTTAACGCGTGGTTACATAACTGTCAAGACATAAATACTTTTGGTTAATTGCTGTCTTGTATCTGCGTAGTTTAGCCATACATGTTCATTAAAATAGCACTGATGAACACTTGCTCGATGCGTGATGGGGGTTTGACGTCAATTAGGCTTGCAATGGCTGCCGTTAAGAACAATGAAAAAAACTTTGCGAATTTCCCTGTCGTAAGGATCTGTAAAGCCCAGAAGTTAAATGTGTGCTCATAGAGCTTGTTGAACGTATATTGTGCATTGGTTCGCCGCAAAGACAAAAGAATTAGCGCTATCGTAATTAATTGTAATGTCATTATAAGAATGGATAGCAGCTCGAAACTTGCAGTTCACTCCTCAAGCTAAAAGTCACACGAAAAGAACACATGACGAGTTCAAACTAGCGACCGTCACAGCTTGACAGATAAAAGCATGCTGCTCAAACACAATGAATGGTCGAAATGAGCACCTGACCCACAGGTCGCGGGATCGAATCCAGGCCGCGGCGGCTGCCTTTTCGATAGAGACGAAAATGCTTGTGGTTCGTGTGCCCAGATTCGGGCGCACGTTTAAGAACCCCAGGTGGTCGAAATTTCCGGAACCCTCCACTAAGGCGTCTCTCATAATTATATGGTGGTTTAGGAACGTCAAACCCTTCATGTAAATGAATAATTTGCTTGGTGGATCGTGTAAAAGAAGTAAGGAAGTCAAAGCCTGTTTACTGGTTATTGAAAGAATATTCCGGGCCAGTGCCAGACGGGGCTTGGACCTCCATGTAGCAGTCCCGCGGGGGTTCAAACATCGCGACTGCCGGTGGGGGCACACACATTGTTTATGCGTGCGTTTGTATATGTGCGTGTCCATATAGGCAAGCAAATTTAAAAATTTTTGGGAGGGGGTTTAGGTCCTCCTCTCCTTTTCTTGTCTACGTCCCTAGTTAAGGAGACTCGTTCCATAAAGTGACATATATATAATGCTTTTTTTTTTGAAATGGCATTTAAGCAATAGCATCATCATCATCATCATCAGCCTGACTACGTTCACTGCAGGACAAAGGCATCTCCCATTTTCCGTCAGTCAGCTTGGTCCAGTGCTTGCTGCTGCCAATTTATACCCGCAAACTTCTTAATCTCATCTGCCCACCGAACCTTCTGTCTCCCGCTAACCCGCTTGTCTTCTATGGGAATCCAGTTAGTTACCCTTAACGACCAGCAGTTATCCTGTCTACGCGCTACATGCCCGGCCCGTGTCCATTTCTTCTTTTTGATTTCAACTATGATATCCTTAAACCTTCGTTTGTTCCCTAATCCACTCTGCTCTCTTCTTGTCTCTTAAGTTTACACCTACCATTTTTCTCTCCATTGCTCGGTGCGTCGTCCTCAATTTAGGCTGAACCCTCTTAGCAAGTCTCCAGGTTTTTGCTCCGTAGCTAAGTACCAGCAAGATACAGCTGTTATATACCTTCCTTTTCAGAGATAGTGGCAATCTACCTGTCATAATTTGAGAGTGCTTGCCAAATGTGCTGCACCCCTTTCTTATTCTTCTAGTTACTGCTATCTCGTGGTTCGGCTCGGCAGTTATTACCTGCCCTAAGTAGACATAGTCTTTTACAACTTCAAGTGCACTATTACCTTTCTCGAAGCGCTGCTCCCTTCCGAGCTTGTTGTACATTACTTTCGTTTTCTGCAGATTAATTTTAAGACCCACCTTTCTGCTCTCCTTGTCTAACTCCGTAATCATGAGTTGCAATTCGTCCCCTGAGTTACTCAGCAATGCAATGTCATCGGCGAAGCGCAGGTTACTAAGGTATTCTCCATTAACTCTTATCTCTAACTGTTCCCATTCTAGGCTTCTGAAAACCTTCTGTAACTACGCGGTAAATAGCATTGGGGAGAGTGTGTCCCCCTGCCTTACACTCTTCTTGATTGGTATTCTGTTGCTTTCTTTATGAAGCACTATGGTAGCAGTTGATCCCATGTATATTTCTTCCAGAATGTTTATATATACTTCATCTACTCCCTGATTCCGCAGGGTCTGCATGACGGCTGATATTTCTACTGAATCAAACGCCTTCTCGCAATCTATAAAGGCTTTGTATAGTGGTTGGTTATTCTCTGAGCATTTCTCTATTACCTGATTGATAGTATGAATGGGGTCAATTGTTGAGTAGCCTGTTCTAAATCCTGCTTGTTCCTTTGGTTGATTGAATTCTAATGTTTTCTTTACTCTGTTAGCAATTACCTTTGTAAATAGCTTGTATACTACTGAGAGCAAGCTGATCGGCCTGTAATTCTGCAAGTCCTTGTCATTTCCTTTCTTATGTATTAAGGTTATGTTAGCGTTCTTCCAAGACTCTGGTACCCTTCCCATCAGGAGGCACCTCATAAACAGGGTGGCTAGTTTTTCTAACACAATCTGTCCACCATCTTTCAGCAGGTCTGATGTTAACTGATCCTCACCAGCAGCTTTGCCCCTTTGCATGCTCTCCAAAGCTTTTCTGACTTCTTCTATCATTACTGGTGGGGTGTCATCTGGGTTACTGCTAGTTCTTATAGTACTAAGGTCGTGGTTGTCTCGGCTACTGTACAGATCTCTGTAAAACTCCTCCGCTATTTTAACTATCTTATCCATATTGGTGGTTATTTTGCCTTCTTTGTCTCTTAGTGCATACATCCAACTTTTGCCTATCCCAAGTTTCCTCTTCACTGCTTTGACGCTTCCTCCGTTTCTCAGAGCGTGTTCAATTCTCTCCATGGTATACCTTTTTACATCGCATACCTTACGCCTATTAATCAACTTCGAAAGCTCTGCCAGTTCTATTTTGTCTGTTGTACTTGAGACTTTCATGATTTGACGCTTCTTAATTAGGTTCTTCGTTTCCTGGGAAAGCTTGCCAGTGTCCTGTCTCACTACCCTGCCTCCAACTTCCACTGCACACTCCATAATGATACTCGTCCGATTATCATTCATTGTATCTACGCTAAGGTTGGTTTCCTCACTAAGAGCCGAGTACCTGTTCTGCAGCGGCACTCTAAATTCCTGTACTCTTCCTCTCAGTGCTAGCTCATTGATTGGCTTTTTGCGTATCAGTTTATGTCGTTCCTTCTTCAAGTCTAGGCGAATTCGAGACCATACCATTCTATGGTCACTGCATCGTACCTTGCCAACCACTTCCACATCCTTCACAATTCCTGGGTGTGCAGTCATTATAAAGTCTATTTCGTTCTTATTTTCGCCATTAGGGCTCCTCCATGTCCACTTGCGGTTTTCTCGTTTTCGGTAGAAGGTATTCAAAATCCGCAAATTATTGCGTTCTGCGAATTCTACTAGTAGCTCTCCTCTGGCGTTTCTAGTGCCGATGCCATAATCTCCTACTGCCGGGTCTCCAGCCTGCCTCTCCCCTACCTTTGCATTAAGTCGCCCATCACTATAGTATACTGTGTTTTTACCTTACTCATTGCCGATTCCACGTCTTCATAGTAGCTTTCAACTGAAGCGTCATCATGGCTGGATGTAGGCGCGTAAGCCTGTACTACCTTCATCTTGTATATTTTATTCAGTTTAATTACAATACCTACCACCCTTTCATTAATGCTATAGTATTCCTCTATGTTGCCAGCTATGTTTTTGTGAATTACAAACCCCACTCCCAGTTCTCTTCTGTCTGCCAAGCCCCGATAGCAAAGAACGTGCCCATTCTGTAGCACAGTATAGCCCTCATCTGTCCTCCTAACATCACTGAGCCCTATTATATGCCATTTAACACCCTCTAGCTCCTCGAATAGTACAGCTAGACTTCCCTCACTAGATAAGGTTCTAGCGTTAAATGTTGCCAATTTCAGGTTCCAATGGCGGCCTGTCCGGATTCAGAGATTCTTAGCACCCTCTGCTGCGTTACAGATCTGACCACCGCCGTGGTCAGTTGCTTCGCAGCTGCTGGAAACTGAGGGCCGTGAGTTATTTGACGTATGCATGTGGGAGGTAGTGACCAGATACTGCACCAGGGTGGCCAATACTTCTCTGGTGAGGGAGTGCGTTCCCCGCGGTGGTTACCGGTGAGGCCGCACCCCAGGCCTCTTAATGCAGTTCCATCAACACGCGGATTTTTTTTTTTATCCGGTTGGGAACTGCGCGGCACCGGGATTAGAACCACGGACCTCTTGCATGCGATGCGGATGCTCTAACCACTACGCCATCATCGCACCTTTAAGGGCCGCCAATGCACGGCATATTAAAGAAGTTTTGAACACTGCAGCCAGGCTTTACAGTGAAACGCAACGCGCAACATCTAGCAAAGTTGTTTTTCTCGGGGCCAGCATAAGGGGGCTACGCAGTGTCACGGCCATGTTCACAGCCGCGTCTTTTTTTATCTTTCTCTCCGGTCACAGACAGGCAAGGAGGCACGTGTCGTTAAGCTATTTTAACACAATACGGGTAAAAGGCCAGAACAGGCTGCAACCTCTGCGCCGAAGAATTCCTCCAGCGTGTATGTGCTACAGAAATTGGGCAAATAGCACAACGCTACAGCTCTTTACGCTATGTTAAAAAGCTCGTTTCTCAGAAATTTCGGTGTCATCATTGGTGTCGGCATTGGTGTCGGCGTTGCTGTTGGCGTCGTTTTCGGCGTCGTTGTTGGCTTGGGCAGCGTTAGTTGTGGTCGGTAAATCATCATCTTATTCATAAAAAAAATAGAGAAGGATGCAGATGAAATAAAT